TTACACTACATTTCCTTCCCTTCCTATTGTGCAAACAGTACATATTTTCGACAGCCTAATTGTAGGCGCTTTGGTGGCATAGTGAATTACCCTTGGGCTGTAACCACAAGGTCAGCAGCTCAAACCCCAAAGCCGCTCCCTGGGAGAAAGATGAGACTTGCTACTCGCATACTTACAGTCTCAGAAACCCACAGAGGCAGTTCTACACTGTTCCGTAGGGTTGCCAGGAGTCTGAATCCAATCCGTTTGTCCTACTGTGGTGGCTCTGTGTGGCTGGATGCTATGGAAGAGATTTCAAATACCAGCAGGGTCACCTACAGTGCATGGATTGCAGCAGTTTCCAGAAAAAAAAGGTCCCGATTTTTGGAAAGAATGCACGACAAGCTAGGCTAGACGGTTTTCGCCTGCCATGTGGCTATTTCGCTAGGGTATGAGTTTTATCAATGGTGTCCCGCTTTACCAAGGTTAAAATCTGGTCACCTTACCTACACCAGACATGATCCCAGGTTGAGGGCTCTAATAGGGACCCCATGGACTCCCTATTCTCCTGGCGCTCACCTGCTGGTGAGGAAAGCCAGCTCACAAAGAGAAAAGAGCGCAGGGATCAGGCTGGTCCCTCCTTGCACCATCACTAATTGGGAGCATGCTCAGCTCCAAGCTCTGTGCTTGCTGCTGTGAAAAGCTGAGAAGGAGACCCAGCCCCGCTCTCAGGGAACACCACTCTGCTTGCCAGGTTTCGGCAAACATAAGCCACAGTGTGCCTCTATTTCTCTCCCTGTACTGAGGCTCTTGCTCTAAGACTCTAGGATGTCTTTTGTCCTTAAGCAATACTTCATTCAATGTGGTTTTCAGCGTCACGGTGCCCTTGGGTGGGGCAATCAGTTAATCAGTGTGCTCAGCTGCTAACAGAAGGGTTGGAAGTTCAAATCGATAGGGGCACCTTGGAAGAAAGACCTAGAAAGCTACTTCCAAAACAATCAGGCATGGTTCTACTCGGACACACACGGGGTCACCAGGAGTCACAATCAATTTGATGGCAACTGGCTAGAGTTAAATCCATGCTACACTTTAAACTGCTACTGAGGTCTTATAGCCAGAGCCGTAGAGGTAGCAAGAAAGAAGGAAGGAGGGGGAATGATTTAACTGGCTCTGTGCAGGCGTTAGCTGTGACAATCACACACATCTGAGTCCTGCGACGCTTGTCACATCGTTTTAAACCTGCAATCTGCCACCATCTCTCTCTCCTGGGATGTGAAGAAGGACAAAGGAGCTGACGGCAGGACATGAGGATTTCGGCTTGAAATCAGCGAGGGCTAGAAGGATTACAAGGTAATGGAGGCAAGTGACAAAGTTAGGAATGCAGTGGTGTAGTCAACCCACTTAGCTATATTCTGCCGTGGTGGTCTTACCCAGAAGTAGAAGGCTAAAGTGGCTCATTATAAAGAACGTTTGGCCCCAGAAAACCCTCATAGTTATTTGGCTCTTAGCTGCCATCACATCAGCTCAGAAATCAAAGCGACCCCAAGATCAGACCACTTTCATTGGCTGATTTCCACCACCTTCCCACCCCTTCCGAAATAAATCACCAGGTCCTTCTTCCTAGTCTGTCTTAGTCTGGAAGCTCTGCTGACACCTGTTAATCAACATAGCCACACACAAGCCATCAGTGCATTGCCTGGGAATTGAACTGCCGTATACACTCGAGTATAAGCCAACCTGAATATCAGCCGAGGCACCTGATTTCACCACAAAAACTGCATTAAAAATGTGTTGAAAAACGCAGCACTCGGCTTATACACGAGGATATACGGTAAATCTCTTGCATGGAAATGAAGAATTCTACCATTGAACACCCCCACTCTGACTCCCGTGTGACACAGCGGAATTCTATTTCAAAGGGTTTTCCATGGGAGGTTTCTAGGAAGTAGATCTCCAGGGCTTTCTTTGGCAGTGCCTCTGAGTGGATTCAAACCACCAATCTTCTGGTCAGCAGCTCAGAATGTTAACCTCCGGCATCATCCAGGGAC